ATTTTAGGATTTATTTTTGATTTTTTTATGATAAAATTGAATTAAAAATATGTTACACTTTAATTAATAATAGTTAATTGGATTTAAATGTTATTGTCAATAGTTGAGCTTTTAAATCTTTGAATAATATTTACGAATGGAAAGGACTTGAGCTTAATTGGTTCAAATCTTATGCTTTGATAAAATCTTACGATTTACGATTTGATTCTTACTTATGTTATGAATTAAATTTATTATTTTTTATGATAAAAATGACTTAAAAAGATATTAAACTTTAATTATAAATAGTTACTTTAATTAATATGTTTTTGTCACTATTTAAGTTTAATCGATTCAAACATTTGAATAGTGTTTACTAATTGAAATGATTTGAGCTTAATCAATTCAAATCTTACTATTTGATTAAATAAAATATGAAAAGAAAAAAATCACAATATAATATTTTGTGTATATATTTTTATTTTAAAATAGGAAAACTAATTGGAATGAGTTATAATCTATTTTTTTTTTTCTAAATAAACATATTATTTTATTTATTATTCAGAATTTTCACACTATCGATTTAATAAAGTAAGCGAGCTTGTATTAAGTTATGTATTTGTCTATATTTAATTGAGCATTCTTTATATTTTTCAATAGTGGAGTTGATGAATATTTTCAATATTATACAATTAATGATAGATGTTTGGGGTATTGAACCACGTTTCTTTATATTTTTCAAATTTTATTATAGTAAATTTGTTAATAATTTATTTAATATTATTTAATAATAATGAAATCGCAATTAATACTATATTTAATATTTTGAAATATTTAGATTTATTATCACTTTACATTTTATTTTACCAATATATAAGAGGGTTAACTGCCAAAAATCCCCTAAATTTTGGACGTTTTTGCGCTTTACTCCCTGAACGGAAAAAAGTTGCACGGGCATACCTGAACTTACGTATTTTTAACACCGATTTAGTCCATTTTTGGCCATTTCTGACCGGAATCAAAATCACGTGCCTTGCACGTGAATATAGTTGGGGTAAATTAGTATTTTCCCCTCAACCCCCCTTTTCTATCTCCCGCTAATTCTTCTTCTTATTTTCCCTTCAATTCTCCCCCCCCCCCCCCTCTTTTAACACAATTTTGCCCTAAATTAAGAACCTGCATCTCCCTTCTTCCCCCATTTCCCCCTTTCTCGCACGCGATTTGACTCTCAATTCTTCAATGGATTTGACATACCACTGTGGAAGAAAGCTAACCATGAAAACTTCATGGACTGACCTCAACCTAGGAAGGAGATACTCCACGTGTGAAAAATATCGGGTAAAGTTTCTTCTTTTTTCTTCTGATTTTGATTTCGCAAGTCAACTATATTCATACTTTTTTCTTCTGAATTTGTTCTCTTTTTTTAGCAAGTTGGGGGTTGTTACTATTTTGCTTGGATTGATCCACTTATGTGTGAAAGAGCTCGTCAGATCATACCTGGTTTGCTTCGTAGGATCAACAAGCTTGAAGAGGACCTGAAGAAGAAACAAGAAATGAAAAAAATGGTTGTGGGTTGGAATGTTTGTTTCATCGTTGATTGTGTACTGTTTTTCTGTAAAGTGATATAGTGGTTATGTATTTGGGTTGTTATGTTATTTTAATAAACAATGAAGCTTAAAAAGTGTTTGGAGTACTCTGTTTTTCTGTTAGAAAATGGTTAGTTTTGATGTAATGGTTGTTTATAATGAATTAATGAAATTTAGTTGTCAAATTGAGCACTCTATTTGTATGTTTGTTTTGTTCTTAAAAAAATTGACTTCTTTGTGTTGCTATGTACTCAATTCAGAAACATCAACATAATTTAATAGAGGAAAACAAGTTTAATCCATACAAAATAACACAAGTTTAATCCATACAAAAATTCCACAAATCATGATGACTACAAAATAACACAAGTTTAATCCAAACGATGCAAGTTTCATCCACCTAGTGGATCCACAAAAAGCAAGTTTAATTCAAAAAAACAAATCAGACAAAATCAATGGATATTTTTTGGTTTAGGTGTTTGATTGCTGGGTGCTTGGCATTGTGAGCTTCTTGTTGTATATGTCTATCATCATTGCCTTCATGGGCTGAAAATGAGTCAATGGATAAGACTGTTGGCTACTTGACAAGATTGTTGAGTGCTTGAAATTGCTTCCAACTGCACTCTTATCTGTAACATTTGAATTTCTTGATTGTTGAGTGCTTCCAACTACAGCCTTGCCTTTGTCACTTGCATTTTTTGATTGAACAGGTGGCTGTGATTGTTGACTGCTTCCAAGTGTACTTGGGGCTTTGTCTTTTGCATTCTTTGAGAAAAAAAATGGTCTCCTTGGTATTCTTGCTTTGGGTATCCCCAGACTCTTGTTGGGCACTTTTGTAGGTGGTTGTGATTGTTCTTCTTGCATGTTCTTTTAGTTGGAGCATTCTCTTCAATCTCAACATTGCTTTCAATCTGCACTTCACTCTCATTTTGCATTTTATTCACATCATTGTTTTCAGCCTGCAAAAATATACAATAAGTCAAAATCATGTAGTCAAAATCATCTTATTTTACAATTCAGCATACACTTACTGGAGGCATTTTCAATTCAGTTTACACTTCATCAATTAAATCAAGGTCAATCTGCAAATCACTCTCAGCATTGTTTTCAAACTGTAAATCCCTATACACTTGGTGTCTACTGAACAACAGCTTATAATCCTTCTGAGCAACACTCATCTTTGATTCAACTGTCCAGATAAATCCCTAGCAACTCCCTGCTCCTCGAACGGTTCAGATAACCGAGGAGGCCCTTCAATGTATGATTACGGAAGCTTCTACTCGTGCTATTGCTGAAGCAGTGGCCCAATACATTGCCACAACGGAAGCCAGCGCTCCTCCTATAACCGCACCCGTGGCACAACCATCACCACAAGACAATGAACCCCGAATAAGTTCGTCATCGACATCAACTTCAGTCCACTCATTGACGAGGGGCATAGCCCGATCAACAGCGCGCACGTTCACCTCCAATGGGCAATGCCTCTCTTCAGCGAGCTCCTCCACGCAATTGTGGAGATGATGAAGTTAACAATCGAGTATCCCGCTCGAATCCTGTTCCCACATAGGCAACCCTAGTGGTGGAGTAGCCATGGCTCCAGTAAGGCGCAGTCCCTTCATTGTTGCCATACTCAATGAGATATTGCCCCCAGGGGTAAAGGCCTCGGGTCTACGACAATTCGATGGAACTAGTGATCCACATAAATACATTGAAAAATTCTACGCCATGGCATAACTACATGGCTCCACTGATGCAACACTATGCAAAATTTTCCGCACAACGCTCTTCAAACGAGCTTTAAGTTGGTTCAATTCCCTCCCGACAGGATCAATCGAAGCTTTCTCCCGACTCTCGGATCGCATCACCAACCAAGTTGCCATCAACAAGAAATACGCTAAAACTCCCAAATATCTCTTCACCATCACCCAGAGAGAAGGCGAAGCCCTTCACAGTTACATATAACGGTCTGTGGAGGGAGTTTATGAAGTTCCCAACATGGGAGAGGATGCTATCGGGAACCATGTAGCAAAATTTGAAGCAAAGTAGATTCAAAGAATCTATCGCAGGAAGACCTCTTGCCACTCTAGTGGAGCTATTAAGCCCCGCTGAGAAACACGTGTGCGTTGAGGAGGCCTCGTCCCTCGCTCCTTCCAAGAGGAAGAGAGAAGATGATCGCCCCGACACCTGACGACGGGATGATCGACGGCCACCACCGACATCTCGAGGCCAATCCTTTTCTTCCTATGGGCGTTCCCTCAACTCAACGCCCCTCTAACTGAAATCCTTCAGGTCATAGAACAGAAGGTTTAAGCAAAGCCTCCACGACCTACGCATGCCAACGCAAAACGACATAAGTCCGATCGCTATTGCCATTTCCACAAGGACAAAGGGTATACCACTGAAGAGTGCATTCAACTTAAGATCGCAATCAAAAAGTTGATCAAGCAAGGAACGCGTAGATAACAATGCTTTTATTCGCACATCATTTGCAATGAGTACTATGTCATCAACGAAATTTCACATTTAAAGAGTATTTACAAAAAAAATTGGACAATTGATAATTATTTTTTTCCCGGCTCAATATCAGTTTTTTAATGTTTACAAATGCTAGTTCTGCTTATACCTTTCTAAAATAAACATTCTAAGCCGTATAGTTTAAGAAGCACCATTGGAGGTACATCTCTAATTTAATAACACTTGTGTAACTAAGGGGTGACTGCAAAAGTTTTTGTTTAGGTAGAAGTTAGAGATTATGGTAAAGAAATGAAAGTAAAAACTTATTCAAAGTTGGGATGTTTCCATATCTTTAGAAGAATTAACTTTAAACTGTATTTTAATAAGTTGTAAGTGTTTGCAAATTAACTCTAATTTTTAGCTTATTTTGGTGAAATATTTAAAATATCAATAATAATTTTTAGATAAAACCAATAAGAGTATACATTTCAAATACCATTGGTATTTTTTACCGAAAGGATTTTAAACCATAAAAGCTACCCATCCGTACTGTTGAGATTATATGTAATAACTTATTTTTGGAGAAATAGAAGTAAAAATTGGTTCAAAAGTTTTCAAAAGTTTTTGCAAACACCACCGAAATTTAAAAAAATATTTGACATTTTCATCCTAGTCATCATAATATCCAAAGATCACTTTAGTAAATTAGATAACTTTTTCTCAAAAAAAAAAAAAAATTAGATATCTTAAAAAAAACTAACAATTTAATTTTATATGCTAATAGTTCAAGTTTAACTTTCGCCAAACATCACAACGTAGGGGAAAAAAATAATTTCAAATTTTAATTAGAACCACCTAATTGTTTTTTTCTTTTTACTTGTAAAAAGTAAAAAAAATTGAAGGGTAATTTCGTCAACAGAATAAAAGCCCAAGGGTTTATGGAGGGCTTAAACCAAATATATAAATAAGAAAAAAAAAAAAAACTCATAAAAGTCCCTACTGCTGCTTCTTCCCCAAGCATAAAAAAAAAAAGGTTCTCATCACTCTACAATGGCGGTTCAAATTGGCCCCCATCTCTGAATCCCCAGCCCAGCATCACCCCCAACAGAATACCCCCAATTCATTCAAAATCCTCCGCCTCCCTCAATTAATTCCCCATGTTGAAGGCCCTCACCACCAGGTGCAGTGCGCACGCCGCGTTCGGGGCCCAACTCCGCCGGCACGTGCCCGCCGGAGAGCCCGCATCCCCGCTCCTCCGTGTTCTTCGAGGTCAAAATAGGAGAAGCCCCTACCTTTTCCGGCGGTTCTTCTGCTCCGATTCCACCGATGGATCCGACCCTGTTGATACTGCCGGGTTGGAAGCGAAACGGGTCGATTCGGGTGAAGAGGCGGCGGAATCCAAGTCTTCGGCTATTGTAACCACCGTAGTTAGACCGGAAGATTGTTTGACGGTAGGTTTTTTTCTATTGGAATTCAGGTGTCTTCATTGCATTAGAATTGATACTTCATGTGAGAAAAAAAAGAAATTCAGTCTTTGGTGTGATTTTATTGCAATTAAGTGACCTAAAACCATTTTATTTGATTTTTCTTTGCTTTATGCTTACACGTTAATATCTAACTGCGTTCCAGTTGATAAATTTGGTATAGAAAGTAACTATTTGTGCAAGATTTTTGCCATTTGCTTTTTCTATACAAAATGACTGGTAAACTTTAAGTAAGGCGTGGTTGTTATATTTAATTGTTTATTACTGATAGAATGTTATATTTAATCGTTTACTGATAGGATGTTTAACAAGTTAACGGATTAGATGCTTAGTATTTCTTAAGTTCTACTCTTTCTGCATACAACTTAACTTCAGCAGTTGAACAAGTGGAACCGAATGCAACCTGGTTCAACTTCTTGGAATTTGCTTGTGTCTGACATGTGGCTGTGTGAGCTATGCTAGAAGAAGTTTTTGGATTTGTTTTAGGATATTATGCACGGAATTCATTGCTAGGACTTGTCTGATTTGTCTATGTACATATTTTAGCTATGTTATTCAGTCAGTGTAAAAACCATTGTTCTACTTCGATAAATGTCTTCTTTTAGTTTGTTGACAAGGGTTAGTGCATTGTTCTGGGAGGAGAAGGCGTAAGTGGTAAAGTTACGTGGGTAGAAGTTGTAAAGTTAATCCCTGAGCAGCTTTATCAAGTCTCCCTTTTATGTAACATTATATTAATTTTATGACTGGTATAAATTGAACTATGTTAAAGAACAATTTTCACTTCTAGTTGCTTGTTCAAAGAACTTGACCTTATAGTTATACCACCATGCATTTTTTTTCTTTTTTTTTTTTTCCCGTTGTGCAGGTTATAGCTCTGCCACTGCCCAATCGACCACTGTTTCCCGAATTTGTAGTTATTTGTTCCACATTATTCTGATAGTTATACAACAATGCAGATTTTTGTTTATTGTGCAGGTTATAGCACTGCCACTGCCACATAGACCACTATTTCCTGGATTCTATATGCCCATATATGTCAAGGTATGGTTGCTTCTGGTCGTATACTTGTTTTAATATTGTTGCAGAACTCCTATATTTGTCTTTGTGGGCATTAGAGTATTACCAAATGGCTGCACTGTAATTGGATTTATTCTGTTATATCTTTCTCTGCATCCAATCTTTGGTACTTATAAATGTCTAAACATGGTCAAATGCATGTACCAGTTATCTTTAATGGAATCAGTAAATGAATTCTAATCTCAACACTGAAAATTTGTAATTGCTATTTTTTTATGTCTCTTATCTCTATTGTTCTTTATTGAGCTCGTGGTGCTTTAATATTACAAATAGTATTACCGCAGCCTTACAATCTGGCATGACATGTTCAAAAGGTGTTGAAGGTTAAAATCCTTTACCAATTTATTTAGGAGAGGTAGCCACCCTGATAAAGTTGACTGTTATATGCATTTCCCTTCCTTTCCAAATCTTCTCTGACGTTAAATTACTAGGGTCTTCAGTTCGCTGTTAGGTAAAAATATACTCTTCTCTTCTTAGACGAAAGAGATAACTTTAGATTGCTTTTGTAGGACCCAAAACTGTTAGCAGCTTTGGTAGAGAGTAGGAAAAGGCAAGCCCCCTATACTGGTGCCTTCCTTATTAAAGAGGAGGAAGGGACTGAAGGTTCAGATTCTGAGAAGAATGTATATGACCTCAAAGGAAAAGATTTACTGAATCGCCTTCATGATGTTGGTACATTAGCTCAGGTAATGTCTTATCCGTTTATTTTTTTTTTTTTTATTTTTATATATATATACATATATAGGTCAAGCTGTTGTAAGAATTCCTAGCTATATAATAAATGTTGTGAATTGATAAAGCTGTCTTCATGACATAGATTACAAGCATCCAAGGAGATCAGGTTGTCCTCATTGGTCACAGAAGACTTCGAATCACAGAGATGGTGAGTGGTACTGTGTTTTCATCTTTTCTCGTTTTTCAGTAAAATTATTAGGGATATATTATCTCATGCACTAATAAATCTTGTAAATATCAATATTATCTTGTTGGGCCCGCGGCAATTCATTTTTTATTTGTGTATTTACATACACGTTATGTAATAGAGTTGGAGCTGGACTTATTATGCTAAGTTATTATTTGGATACGTGCAAACTTTGCTCATTTAAGTTATTTGTTTTATGCAGGTCAGTGAAGATCCTCTTACAGTCAAGGTTGATCATCTCAAGGTATATGCTCTTATCTGATTTGAATGCTATTGTACAACTTACAAGTCCAGTTTAGGTGATAGATTTTTTGACATATCTTTCAGGAAAAATCATTTGATAAGGACGATGACATTCTCAAGGCTACATCTTTTGAAGTTATATCCACTCTGAGAGATGTTTTGAAAACAAGTCCACTCTGGCGAGATCATGCACAAACTTATACTCAGGTATGATTTTTCGGTAACTAGAATTCAGCCTTTTTTTCTTGTACATTTAGAATGGTGCTGTTAGGTAATTATTTCTGAAGCAGTTTAGATTAGTTATCAATCTAGTTCATGATAAAGTGGAAGTTATCATACACATTCATATGGAACTTGCATGCCCTAGTTCATCGTAAATAATATTTAGTCCTTGCTTTTACTATACTTGGCCAAATTGATTTATGGTTTTAAAAGATCTGATGTAATGTTAATATGATCACATGAAAAATTGTGTTGAGATATTTGTTTCTTGTAGATTTGTAGCTGAAACATTTTAGTTTAATACTTGGAAGTCATTAGATTAACATTTGTATTAACATGAATGCTCTATGCTTAATGTAATTGGCGACTTAATGGCTTGATTTAACTGCATTAAATTAAAAGTGAGGATTATGATTCATTTTATGTCCTAACTCGCAATACCTGCAGCATATAGGTGATTTTACTTATCCAAGAGTGGCAGATTTTGGAGCAGCAATATCAGGTGCAAATAAGTCACAGTGCCAGCAAGTGCTTGAAGAATTAGATGTAAGTAGATTATATAACACACTGTCTACCCCATATATCGCCTTCTTGAGAATTAACACTAGATATCGAATTATTTTTGTTGTTTTATGATCTATTGGTTACTAGAGTAACTTCAATGTGTCAGCCTATTTATAATCAAATATGGAAAACAAAAACTTCCACAGTTACGGTACATTTCTTTTGTCTGGTGTCTGGAACAACCTTAATGCATTTTGTAAAAGTAATTGGTTTGAATAACGTGTCACTGCTCTGCAGTCTATTTGATGGATGTCGTGTTCAACGTAGTAATAGACAAAAAAATCTCACCTCTTAAAAGTGTATTATCTGAGGAAGATCTTAAAAGTACTTTTCTTGTGTAACCGATACTAAAAGCTTGCTCTTTTTTTAATTTTTTTTTTGTCTTATAAATAGCGTACAACCAAACCCAAAAGGAATAGAACCCTTGACCTAATACTACCCTCCCCACCCTGACACTCTTCGGGCAAAAGCTTGCTCTTTTGTTATCTGCTCAAAATGTTGAAGAAAAAGAAAGATAATTAGTATCCGAGCCTATGTTGTATTGTCATGTTTGCGCTTATGTTTTTCTGTTTTTCATGCCTAAAAGTTTAGCGTCACATTTCTCATGCTATCGAATCTCCTAATTCAGGTGCATAAACGACTAAAACTTACCTTGGAGTTAGTGAAGAAAGAGATGGAGATTAGCAAGATCCAGGTACAAACTGATGGATAATTCAATTCAAGAATCATGATATCCTCTTTACTATTTATTTATTTTATTTATCAGTTTTCCCTGTTTTTTGCTGTATCCAGGAATCTATAGCCAAGGCCATTGAAGAGAAGATAAGTGGGGAGCAGCGCCGCTACTTGTTGAATGAACAGCTTAAGGCCATAAAGAAGGCATGAATTTATTAGTAGAGTCTGAGTCGTTTTCAGTTTATGTTACTTGAATTTCATTGACCTCTTTGCATGTAATTACTAGAAGAATCTGAGTCATTATCAGTTCCTCTTACTTGAACTTCATAGATCTCTTTATATAGTTTCTGCTTGAATCAGCGTCTGATATGCTAGATGCTTGATTTAGGGATAACTGATTCCGAATATGTTTTATGCAGGAACTGGGATTAGAGACTGATGACAAAACTGCTCTTTCAGGTTCATTCTCTTTCGTCAATTTTATTTGTACTTAGAGTTGATTCAGTCAATGTCTGTATGTTGTGCTAGTCCCTTCTTTGACTGCCCTTCTGTCTACTGCAGAAGGTGTGTGATATAAATGTATTACATTTGAAACCTGCTTAAGTATTAATCGGAATTTGGGTGCTCCATACATTACATGTATGAAATAATCTAACATAGAGTACTTAACTTTGATTTCCCACTACTTGGTGAAGCCTTATTCTCTTGCTTTTATACAGATCTCGTTTCACTGAGCTTTTATTTCTTAGGTGTGTTAAATAATAGACAATCTAGTGACATTGAGGATCACACAGTCCAAGTATCGTGACCTGTCATACGTAAATATCACAAGGAGAGTCATGGATATCTTTTTCCTTTTGCTTCAGTTGCATTTTCATAGAGAGTTTTTGACTTGCCAATAGACCCTCTTGATGCGGTAAAGGGATCTAAGTCCCCACACCCCCCAAAAAATAAAATAATAAAAAACAAAAAAACAAAAATAAAAATCACTGAGTCGCTGTGCTGTATCTGGGTAGAAAGAAAGTATTGTCTTTAGGAAGCCGACTTATAGTGACAGATCACCACCTTGCCTTTCTTTGGTGTCAGAGATTAGGACTATTTGAAGGTCTACGTTTGACTTGGAAAGAGATTGGGAAGTAATTTATGTGCATTCTAGTACTTCTTGTCTTCTTTGTAATCTCTCTTATTTTTCTGCAATGAAATATTATTATTTAAAAAATGATGCGACATAATTGAAACTGATCTAAGGGGGAGAATGTCATTTTTTCATTCTATTTTGGGATATCATGATGATATAAGCATGTCTGATAAGATGCTTATCATTTATTTTTTACACACAAGCTAGCTTTAGATCTGTGGTGTATGCTGCTTTATATCTTTGGGTTCGTTGGTTGATGACTGCCGTACAGGCTTTAGGGTTATAGGTGGGAATAGGTACATTGGGCTCTTGGTAAATATTGCATTCTCTGTGTAGAGAATGGCTAAGGAACTTTATTGATAACAGTTAGCTACCTGTCTACTCTTTCGTTTTTAGTCCCCATTATGGTGCTCTTACTTGTATAGTATTTGGTTGGACATTTTTAGCTGATGTAGAATATAGATTTTATATGATCATATGATTCTTATGCACAGTGTTTGTGAACGTGGGAGTGTATTTGGGTTAATCATTGGATTTTGAAAATCTTAGAAATAATCATTAGTATATGCATGTAATAAAACTCTCTACTTTTTCACTACAGCAAAGTTCAGAGAAAGGCTAGATCCAAAGAAAGAGAAAATCCCACCTCATGTTTTGCAAGTCATAGAAGAAGAACTGACGAAATTACAACTGTTGGAAGCCAGTTCGAGCGAGTTTAATGTCACACGCAATTATCTTGATTGGTTGACTGCATTGCCTTGGGGAGAATACAGGTTTGTAGTTCAATTATCATATCATATGGTTACTGCTGCATTTTTAACATTTTTCCTCCATGCCCCTCTGAAAGTATCCAAAACTCAGATGCATTCTTGTGCTGTTTGAATTAGTTCCGAGTTTTTTACTGACATGATGTTTAATGATAATTGGAATACCAATGTCAGTGAAATTAGTATGATGACAGGTGTGCCATCTTTCTGGTACTGATTCTTTGGATTAAAATGCTAATGATTGGCTCATGACAACTTTCCCTTGCAACTGTTGTGGCTGAAAAAATCTGTAAATATTGAACTGAAGCATGTTTTGCCTTGTTTGCTTCATGGTTGTATTTATCAAGTGCCAAATAGCTCTATTTTCTTTAAATTTTTCTTAAAGATCACTTCTCTACGGGAAGAAAATGTATATAGTGGAATTTAGTTGAAGCATTTTGGAGACCAATGCGTATTCTTTATGGTTTTAAATAAATGCAAATAAGATAGAAATTTGACTAGAAATACTATTTTGATTTCGTGTGTTTGCAAATGGTATACATCTCAGATTGCTACTCTCGTTATCCTTGCTGGCATTTTCAATGACTTCTGGATTTTTCCTTGTTTGAAACTCGTTATTTATTTCGTTTCTTATTGTTCAGCGATGAGAATTTTGATGTAATTCAAGCACAAAAGATTTTAGATGAAGACCATTATGGACTGACGGATGTTAAGGAAAGGATATTGGAGTTCATAGCAGTAGGGAAGCTGAGAGGAACATCACAAGGTTTGACAATTCTTAAATTTTCTTTCTTCTTTTTTATAGTTTAGCAGTTTATTAACGTTCATTCAGCTACTTTCATCTAGGTTATTATCGTTTTCCTGTGAATCCAGTCCCAAGTTTTCTTGAGATATATTTGGATCTTGGAATTTGGGTGAGGGGAACTTTAAGAAAATGATTTCCTGACTTCAAACAATACCATACAACTTAATGATTTTGCTTCCCTTCTGCTTTTCATCACTAAAATCAATATCCAACATATATAGTCCTAGATAAAACTATGTTCATTTATGTGAGACTCATTCACTTTATTTTTATCCTATATGAAGTTGTTATGGCCGATTACATAGAAAATTGGTCGCCTTGATATTTTTTTTGTATTTATTTTATCATCAGATCTTATTAAGTTTTTTGTCCTAGTGTATGAAAATTTCAGTTGTATTTGTTTACCTGTAGTTAATAAAGTTGCATGACCAATTTCGCTTAGGCATAGAAAAGAAGTTGCATTATTTGACCAATTTCAGATACAAATTTCTCCAGTAAAAAATCAAGAAATATAAAACAAGTGAAATAGAAAAGGAAACTGTATTTAGGTTTCATTAGGAATATAAAAGAAGTGAAATATTGTCAGTCACCTCTACCACCCCTAAAAAATGCAAAATCAAAATCTGAACTTATGCTGTAGAGTATTGAACTTCTTGCTTATTTTTTTATTCAATTACTTACAGGTAAAATCATATGCCTCTCTGGTCCTCCTGGAGTGGGAAAAACAAGTATTGGTCGTTCCATTGCTCGTGCCTTAAACCGTAAATTTTACCGGTTCTCCGTGGGAGGTTTATCTGATGTCGCTGAAATCAAGGTGAGTAACTCTTGAAACAATTAGATTGATTATGAATCTTTTTTTTTAATTTTTTTTTATTTTTAATTTTGTTTTTATAAATATTTTAGGGGCATCGCCGAACCTATATTGGTGCCATGCCAGGAAAGATGGTGCAATGTTTAAAAAGTGTGGGAACAGCTAACCCGCTTGTTCTGATTGATGAAATCGACAAGGTATTTATTCTATTACTATATTTAGTTGGATTGTTGATGAACCTGTATTCGACATGTCTATTATTTATAATAATGCATATATATCTTGTGGCAGTTGGGAAGGGGGCATGCTGGTGATCCTGCTAGTGCAATGCTGGAACTTCTTGACCCTGAGCAGAATGCTAATTTTCTAGACCATTACCTTGATGTTCCAATTGATTTGTCCAAGGTTAGCGTGTGTTACACAAATGAAATTATATTTTCCATGGGGTTATAAAAATATATTTATGAAATATTTTGTTAGTTTGGTTATCGGGGAGATATATTTATGGGTTTTTGCTATTATGCATTCACAAATTTTGGAGAAAAAAAATACTCAGCACCATGCTCTAAGCACTGCAATTTTACGTCGTCTCTTAGATATCTAATTGCTAATGTTTGTCTGTGAATATTCCAACTTTTCATTGCAAACTATTCTCTGCTTCAAAAGGCTTGGATTATCTTATGACCTTTCTGTGATGTAAAATATATCTCCCGTTTTAACCATATGCCTAAATAATGAGAAATAATCAAACATGGTTCTTCTCATTTTAGCAAATAGGAAAAAACGAATGGAAAATAATGTCGGATACTCGGTCTGTGCACAATGGAGAATAGGAAATCAATTAAATGCTCATTTTTGCTGAAATTTTAGAATCTTGTGACTAAGCTATCTATGATGTGGGTATTGGATGTGATTTGAGGCGTGATAAGACCTAACCCCGGTCATTTTTAAATTACATTTTCTGAAAATTCAATACAGCAAATGTTGCAAGTTGCATTTTCAAGGTCATTGAATTTTCTTACACTATCCTGCAGGTTTTGTTTGTATGTACAGCAAATGTAATTGAAATGATACCAAACCCCCTTTTGGACAGAATGGAGGTGATCTCCATTGCTGGGTATATTACTGACGAGAAAATGCACATCGCCAGAGATTACTTAGAGAAAACCACTCGAGAAGCATGTGGTATCAAGCCTGAACAGGTTTTTTTACCTCCCTAACTCCCTCTTTCTGTTTCTCTCTCTCTCTCACACACACACACAACACACGCGCGTAAGCAATGCATGTGCCCGAGCAGACACATGCACGTACTTCTTGAATATTCTCAGTGTTTAGAACTTACAACTACATTTTTTCATACGCCTGAAACCCATTGCTGTTAGTTTACAAAATTTCGTAGTAGACAAAAGATATGGTGGAAAATCTGCTGTAATGCACAAAAAGGTATTTTGGAGTTTGGAAAATATGGTAGATTAGATTTGTTAAAGTAAGTTTAAGTGTCATATAAAATCCGCAGGCCGAGTTAACGAGTTTCATATTGAAGTTCTCTTCTCATGTTGTGGGTTAGTTTAACTTTGAGTTTTTATTAACCGAATGCCATTGTGCTTTTTCAGCTGATTTATCATGCAAATAACTTGCAAAAATATGCATAGTGTTGATACATTGTTGATGCATGTTCACATACGTGCCTTCTCTGCAGAGATCACTTAATCGTTTCCATTACTTTTTTGGTCCAGGTTGAGGTCACAGATTCAGCTCTTCTTGCTTTAATAGAAAATTATTGCAGAGAGGCAGGAGTTCGAAATCTTCAAAAGCAAATTGAGAAGATATATCGAAAGGTACTCACTTAGTTTTGGTTTATTAGGGTGCCACAAAGACTTGATGAGCTGAACGTAAACATCTTTGAAAGTCATAGACAGTGACTCTAGTGTTAGTTATTGTTACATTTACTAAGCATCTCTTATGAACATTGACAGATTGCTCTACAACTTGTGCGACAAGGAGGATATACTGAGCCCCTGTTTGATGAGGTAAAGGCGGAATCAAATTCTGTGTCCGATGGAAGTTTGATTGAAGGAGCAGAAGCCGAATCATTAGAGGGTAGTACCGATGTGAAAGAGTCTGCTATGGAAGCTGAAATAGTGGACTCATCTAATAAGGTTCCAACTTCTTCTATTCCAAATATATCATACATATGATCCATCTTATTTGCTCATCTGATATTATAAGTAATCTATTTTGTCTCCAAGTAATGTTGAATAGCCTTAGCTTTGTACCTTATGAATTGAACCAGCTTACAGAATTATCAATTCCTACTTGTAATCTTCTACTCCCTCTTTTTTTTTTTTTTTTTTTTTTTTTTTTGGTGCAAGTGTCGTTTAAGGTTGATGCACCAATTAAGAAAATTATTAAATAACTTCGATTTTAGATAGGAAAAAGTTCTTATTTGACAAAATTACCCTTTGTGGCTTTTCCTATTCTCTTTATAACTTCATTAATTTTTCATTAACATGGGTGTTTTTTTTTACGGCTTAAGAGACACTTAAAAGTAACATGGGAGTAATTTTTATCCGAATATTTCTACAGTACCATATTGACTGAGTTTTTATATCTGTACTGTGAATGCCGTCTTTGCAGGAAACGGTAGAAGCAGAGAAAATCGTGGAAAAAGAAGCCGAAAAAGTGGAGAGGGTTTTGGTTGACTCATCGAACCTTGTTGATTTCGTCGGAAAGCCAGTTTTCCACGCAGATCGGATATACGAACAGACTCCAATTGGAGTAGTAATGGGTCTTGCTTGGACAGCAATGGGTGGGTCCACGCTGTACATAGAGACATCTCAAATTGAACAAGGCGAAGGCAAAGGGGCACTAAATCTAACCGGACAACTCGGAGACGTAATGAAAGAAAGTGCTCAGATTGCTCACACGGTTGCGAGAGCAATATTGCTCGATAAAGATCCCGAGAATCTTTACTTTGCGAATACAAAGGTTCATCTTCATGTTCCTGCAGGTGCTACTCCTAAAGATGGTCCGAGTGCTGGTTGCACAATGATCACTTCTTTGTTGTCTCTTGCTATGAATAAGCCTGTTAAGAAGGACCTTGCTATGACCGGTGAAGTCACTTTGACTAGAAAGATTCTTCCTATCGGTGGGGTATGTGAATCTAACTTTGACTTTATTAGGGCGCGTTTGGCTATTCTGTATTTACTAAATCGCTTTGTTTTGTTCGTTTTGTCTTGAAATCAAGTTGAGTGATTGTGGCGCATGATTTAGAGCCCGTTTGGCTAAACTTATTTTAAACAACGGGTAGGCTATTACATCTAATAAGCTGTATAAGCTGTTATATATAATTTTTAGAATAATTTTTAAGGGTTTTTGGGTAATAAGCTTATAAGTTATTTTTACTGTTATTAAGTTCTTTATTGGGGTATAGGTACTTTAAAAAAAAGATCATTTAAGTTCTTATTTTTGAATACTTAAAATCTTCTTGGAAAAAAACACCACACTAGAAGAGCTTATAAGCTCTTAACCATCTTATAAGTTGTTTTTAAAAGCTTATAAGCTTAGCCAAATACTCTCTTAAGTCATCATTGTCTATGCCTTTTTTTTTTTCTTTTTCTTTTTTTTGTGGCTAACTGCATTTTCTGTATGATGTATTATTTATTACCTAGCAAAATAGTTGTGCAGGTTTTGTTACCTGTGTCTGCATATTAGGGCTGTGATTTGAATGAGGAAAAGTGAAAATGCATGTAAATTATTCTGTATTTTACTAACTGTTTTCATTGATCCATAACAGCCAGGCAGGCACCCTTTTATTTATTATTTTTTTTTTTTTAATAATAATTTAAATCACCTTATGAATGACAATTATGCAGTTAACATTGTGAATCTCATCTGATCCATCATATATTTGGTTTTCGTGTAATAATAATCAGGTGAAGGAAAAGACAATTGCTGCTCGACGGAGTGATGTGAAGACAATAATATTTCCTTCAGCAAACAGGAGAGATTTCGACGAGCTTGCACCTAATGTCAAGGAAGGCATCGAGGTTCATTTTGTCGACGACTACAGTCAGATTTATGATTTGGCTTTCGACTGTACGGACAAGGCACAGTAATACACACACCTCCCTCCATAAATTTATAATTTGTTAATTTTGATTTTTTTTTACTTCGGCATCTAAGTACGATATATTTTGCATTGCGCAATATGTATACTATTAAGTTATGTCGAGAGGAGAGGTAGCCTCATTCATTGATACACGAACTACATCGATGTAGTGACTGATTGATCTTCCATTAAAGATGCTCATACCTTATTAACTTCTTTTTTTTTCTTTCAATAATAAATGAAGAGAAGAATTGCTTTATTTTTTATTTTTCATAAAATTTGGCTATGCTTATATTAATTGGTTGGCTGCAGTTTTTTCTGATCTAAAAATGCCGTAGAGAATGAAAAAAAAAAAATTGGATCTTGGTGTTATTATTATTATTATTATTATTTTTAGTTTTAGTTTAATATTTTACATGTTTAAAGTAAATTTTGTTGTTTTCAATTGCCCCATTTTTTTTAAAACTAGTTAGTACGTCCTATTCCAAATTCTTATCCATAAAATTGCTCCACAAATTCTTTTTCTTTTCTTTTCACAGTTCCATTAAGATTGTAATGAATGTATGGACTTTCAGATAAACTGCTGTCTGCACTATTTTTCGAAATAAAATTGTCACCCAAAGTCAAGAATTAAGAGACTGCAAGTCTGCAATTACGATTTACGGGTTAACAAAAAACACATTTACAAAAAAATTCAAATAAGCCTTTGTATAAAAGACTAAATGATCTTTCAAATTTTAATATACTTCAATTTCTTTCATTTAACCCCAATTTAACCAATTGTTTTATTATTTTGTAAATTGAAATATACTCTCATTTCATCCCTTTAACTTCAATTTAACACAATTTCGCCAATTATTTTTTACGATTTTTTTTTTTTTGTAAAATTTGGTTTTCCACCTCTTACCGGCGATTCACACTGGGTCTCCGGAGTTGACCTTTTTTGTTTTTTTGAATTTTTTTTTTCTGAATTTTTTTTTTCCGCCAGGGACCTACCTGCATTGACCGCTAGTCGGCGGCGACAAAAAAAAAATCAATTTTTTTCCCAAAAAAATATCAATGCGGTCTCCAGGGAAACAAAAAGAGTTTTCAGCAAAAAAAAAAAAAAAAAAAAAAAAACCCCAAAACAAAAAAGTTAAAATTGAATTTTTTGAGTCAACATAGGTGAAATTGGAATTAAATTAGAGTTTTACATTTAAGAATTGGGTTGAGGGTAATCTTGTTGTAAATATTCTATTTGCCTTCGTCTGTAATATATGTTAATTTGAAATGGAAAGAACACCTAAACCTAAACTAATAAAGGTGGTCGAAACGTTCTCATAAAACCCACCAAAAAATAATGCAAGTATAGAATATACGATGAGGCATAATTGCTAGTTTGCTACCTTCAAGTTCATATATGGAATTAGATGTAGATGAACAAGGTAGAACTTGACCCCTCACTATAAATTTCTCTTCACTCTAATGTAGGGGTGGTAAATGAGCAGAGCCGAATCGTGAGCTCGATAAGCCGATTTGAAAAAAGCTCAAACTCGAGTTTTTTGAGCTCGAACCTTTTTTTAGTTGTTCGTGAGCTTACAAGCCGACTCGTGAGCCGTATTTTTTTTCCAATGTATATATATTTTTAAATAATGTATAATAATAAAAAATATTATAGAAATAATATAAAAAGAACATATAAATATTAAAATATATATATAATTTCACAGTTTATTCTTTATTTTGAGACATTTTTATTATAATTTAAGTAATTTTTAATAATAAAAAATTAATAGTTCAAAAAAAAAAAACAAAAAAATAAAATGAGCTTGGACTCAAGCTCGAGCTCGGCAAAATGGACTCGAGCTTGAGCTCGACAAAATGAACTCGAGCTAGAGCCTGCCAAAACAGGCGAGCTCGGCTCATTCACACCCCTACTCTAAAAAAATTGCAGCTTATTTTTATTCTTGTTTCATTTGGTCCATTTTTTACCAATATTTATTTGTATCATTTATCTATTCTTTTAGATCTATTTTTTAACTTTAATTTATTTACATATTTAAATGATAAATGAAATATTATAAATTACTAATTAAATTTAAATTTATTTTTTTCTTATCGAAGCAAACAAACGAAAAACAATATATTTAATAAATAAAATTCAATTTTATGTTATTTGTTTATTTCATATTCTTAATTATTTTTTTAATAATAATTAAGTATTTCAACAAATTTTAATCAATAATAATAAAATCAAAGTAACTTGAAATTGAACATTAATAAAACCTATTACAATATAAACTACGATACAAAATTACAAAAATAAAGAAATTACAATTCAAATACGAAAATAAGACAACACAGAAAAATAATATTATTTAACCCTCCTCAACTCCAAAAATACTCTACAAATGATTCGTAAGATCGGATCTCAAGACTTCATTAGTTCTCCGATTGCGAATTCGACCAAGACGTGCTGAGATGTAAGACGCAAGAATTGATGGATCTCGACCATATTCAGGAGGACAAATATTATCTTCAGGTAAAGGTTCCCATAAGTCGTATTCAGTTTCCCGTTCATCTTCTATAATCATATTATGAAGGATAATGCAAGTTTTCATTATCTTGCAGAGATCTTCCTTTGACCAATATCACGGGTCCTTGTGTTATGCCCCACCTAATTTGTAAAACACCAAATGCACGTTCTAAATCTTTTCGGACAACCTCTTGTTTTGTAGCAAATAATTTTTCTTTTGCAGTGGTCGGATAAGTAATGGTTTGAATGAGAGTTGCATATTTTGGGTAAATACCATCGGTTAAGTAATATCCCATTGTATAAGAATGCTCATTCACTGTATAATTGATTGAAGGCATTCTGCCATATATGAATTTGTCGAATAATGGCGAATGATCTAAGACATTAATATCATTATTTGCACCCGCCATGCCAAAAAATGAATACCACATCCAAAGTTCATGTGATGCAACCGCTTCTAAAATTATAGTTGGTTTGTGATGGTGACATCTGTGTGTGCCGTGCCAACCAGTTGGACAATTTTTCCACTCCCAATGCATACAATCTAAAGAACCAAGCATACTTGGAAATCCTCGTGATTCACTTTCTTAAAGTAAACGTGCAATATCGTGTTCATTTGGCGAGCGCATGTATTGTTCCTCGTACAATTCAATTATCGAGGAACAAAAAGTCTTTAAGCTCATTATTGCAGTTGTCACTCCAATCTTTAGATATTCATCACAATTATCTACAGACAACCCATAAGCAAGTATACGAAGTGCAACAGTTATTTTTTGAATAGATGATAGGCCAAGGCGGCCACGAGCATCTTTTTTTTGGATGAACTATGAGTTATGATTTTGAACATCATTCAAGATACGAAAAAATAACTCTTTGCGCATCCTAAAACATCTGCGAAAATAATCATCATGATAGGTACAATTATAGAAAAATAATCATCCCACAATTGTTGGTGATTTCTTTCACGGTCACGATTACTATATCGTCGTTGTGATGATTGTTCTGCGCGTGCTTGATATATTCGAGGAATAAAATTAAGCATCTCTTGAGTCTCTTTCACGATACGAATGGAAACCAGGTCTTCATTCTCTAAAGATGTAGATGAAGAACTTGATGATTGAAAACATTCAAATGATGAATCCATATAAATTTGTGGTAAGAAAAATGTAATTTGTATATTTTGTGAGTTGGTATATTTGTGTCAAAGGAAGAAACTATTTATGCAAAAATATGTGATTCAAAATATTTATGGGGTGATAAGATCACACGTGAATTATTTCTTGGAAAAAATGTAGGTTATGGGTGATAGTATATTGTTACAGAGGATATAAGAAAGTGTTCTGAATAGTTTTTTCAGAAGATAAGATATACCATCAATCAATCATTTCTTTTTCTTTTAGCAAAATGTTAAGATGCTGTATTTTAGGAAAAAATACCATGAATAATCTATTCGTCCATTTCCTTTTTCTTTTAGCTAAATAGTTACGATATTGATTTTTTGAGATAAGGGCCATGAATAGTCTCTTCAGATGACAAGATATTTCATCAAACAAGTTTTTTTTCTTTTACAAAAATGTTATGATATTGTTTATCGCGAAATGTGCCATGGTTAATCTAACCAGCTGACAAGATTTGCAAAAAAATGTTATGATATTATTTTTTGAGAAAAGTGCATGACTGATATCTTCAGATGACAAGATGTGCCATCAAACAGTTAAATTCTTTTTTTAGCAAAATGTTAAGAAACTATTATAATACTTTATTTCGGAAAGCGTGCCATGAAAAATATATCGGCGGAAAAGACATGCCAATAAGCAATTAAATATATTATGATATTATCTTGGGGAAGTGCAAATATAGTTTTGCTCCACTATAAATAGTAGTCATATATTAATGTTATAACTCACCAATTCACCTTCATTTTACGGTGATATTATGGTCCGTACAATAATTTCAATCCTAATATTAATCCACAATATAATTCTTAGCCACCACTACAAAATGATTCTCAAACATTTACTCCTCAGTCCATGAATTCGCAATTTCAACCATTTTCTCAGTTTGCATACAATCCTTTTGTTTTTGCAGGTTCATCTCAGATTCCAACGCACATACTCCAAATACATCAGGTAAGAAGAGTTCTAGAGGACGCACGCAAAGAGATAGACAACCACACTGGAGTGTGAAAGAAGATGAAGCTTTATGCAAAGCCTGGTTACATGTTTCAGAAGATCCAACAGTTGGTATGAATCAACGAAGTGGCAAGTTGTAGGACCGAATTGGCGTGGAATTTGTAAAAATTCTAAAAGACGATGCGAGTAGACCCTCATATGGGCTAATGAATCGGTGGTCAACCATTCAATTAAGCGTCACTAAATTTTCTGGATATGTCAATATGATTGGACGAGCTCCAATAAGTGGACAAAGTGCAGAAGATAATATAAGTAAATATACAATTATATTACAATAGCTTTTAATATATTTATATTTATATATATGTATATATGTACATGTTATTTAAATAAATTATTTGAATCTTTATTTACAGATGTTATCAACAAAACAATTATATTACAAGAAAGAGAACCATATTTTTAAGTGGGAGACTTGTTGGCTTATTCTAAAAGACACACCAAAATGATACAATCATATCAATGATGTACAAGAGAAGAAGAAAAGGATGTCTCAAAAAAAGAGGGCATAAATTAATTTGGATGAAGATGATATTGGAGATTCCTCCAATG